GAGAAACCCTGTTGTAGAGTGACTCCTGCCTGTCTCCACTGTGGTGTTGGGTGTTGACAGGGGAGTTCCCACATGCCAAGAGTCTATGTCCAGGCTTGTTTCAAGACATTCTCCCAGTAGACAAAAGGCCCTTGAAGTACCGCTGGCCTGAGGCCTTTCTAGCATCGAAAAAGTGGCCCTTTTTCTACACGCCAAGCAGAAAGGCTCCATTGTGCTGGGTGAGGCTGAGCTCCTCTGGCAGCAGTGGCAGGAGTGTGTTGTTCTGTGTGCTTTACAGGCTAGCACTTGTCTGTCTGCCTCCTATCTGTGTGTCATTCTCCTGTGCCCTCATTATAAATGATCACATTTTTAATGTGTGTGGATATATGTTCATTTTCAAGAATGATGGTTAGTGCATTTTACTTTCCTCAACACTTCTTTAACCTCAGTGCTGTCATCTTTTTTCTCCCCAAACCTAGGATTTGAATGTTTCTCTTAATTTTTCTTTTCCTTCCAATGTATTCTAGTCTGGTAACTAGAAATTTAAGCTAAGCAGTGATTTTAAGCAGCTCTCTCTCTCTCTCTCTCTCTTTTTTAAAGAGATTTATTTATTTATTTGGAAGGCAGAGTTACAGGGAGGCAGAGGCAGAGGTGACGGCTGGGGTGGGGGGTGGGGTCTTCCATCCACTGGTTTACTCCCCAGATGGCCGCAACAGCCAGAGCTGCACTGATCTGAAGCCAGGAGCCAGGAGCTTCTTCCTGGTCTCCCACGCGGGTGCAGGGGCCCAAGCACTTGGGCTATCTTCCCCTGCTTTCCCAGGCCAGAGCAGCAAGCTGGATCAGAAGTGGAGCATCCAGGACTCAAACCGTCACCCACATGGGATGTTGGCACTGCAGGCGGTGGCTTTACCCTCTATGCCATAGCGCCACAGTGCCGCAGCTCCCCGCTCCCCCCAAGCAGCCCTCTCTTAAGTGTCTAATATCTTGTCTTTCAGGATGCAGTCTGAGCACAGTACACCTGCATCATCCTCCCCACCCTCACCCAGTACCTTTCTCTTTTCAACTTTCTGCATCTGCCAACCACCTCATCTACCTCCAAAACTACACAGCCTCACGGCTTTCCTCCTGCTTGTTGGAGATTGGAGAATTTTTGCTTCGACTTTGTTTCATTCAAGATGTATTACTAACTGCTTTGCGTTTGCATGTGCTGGGCTCTACTTGGGGAAAGGAGGAGAATGAAAGGAATGGTCCCAATTTTCTAACTTCTTTAGCTTATGTGAGAGTGACAGAAGCAACGTAAGATGTGAAGTATGCCTACCAGAGAATGCTGTTTTTCTGACAAGCGTTATAGGATTTGTCCACATGGGCTACCTATTTTTCAAAGGAGATTTTTATTGTTTGGAGGCCACAATAAGAACATTTCTGTGACTCCTCATTTAGAGTTGTCATTTTTGAGTAAATTCTTATTGATGTCACTATGTATGAAACTCTTATTTTAGAAACAGTAGATAAACACAAATGAAGAGGATGTGACCCATACCTTCAGTATGATAGCATTCTGATGAAAGTCAATTTTTGGTAAAGGTATGGCTCTTTAGAGAGGAGAGGGATGAATCTCAACTCCTCTCATTGTGCTTCAAAACTTTTCTGGCTTCTTGTTGTTCATAGCAGTGGTTTTCAACCTTGAGGAATGTAGGAATTCCTTTTAAGGGAAATAATTTATCTTGGACCTGCAGTGCTGACTTAAATTATTTTTATGAGTTATTTAAATATGCACAAACATAAAATTGAGATTTAAGTTGCTATATAAAATCTGTGTACAAATATAAACAAAAACAAATTTATACTTTAAATAGAAATAAACTTCAAATCCAATAAAATACTTTTCAGCTGATACTGAATTGCTTTCAGGCTGCATATCTGTATTAGATACCAGCATATCTGCATTACTGGATACCATCAGGCGACTCATTCCTCTCGTTATTTTTCTCTATTTAAGCTATTGTGAAATTTTGACTTGTCCAATACGTCATGATCTCGTTTGACCTTCATTTGTCTGAAACGTATTCCCTGTGTATTAAGTTCACATCTATTCCTTTATAATACTTTCTGTAAATTATAGAGGTAAACTTGCTTTCTGCATGTCTAATCATCACATAAATTTAAAGTTATTTAAAAGGATTGTTTGTCGGCCGGTGCCGTGGCTCAATAGGCTAATCCTCTGCCTTGTGGTGCCGGCACACCAGGTTCTAGTCCCGGTTGGGGTGCCGGATTCTGTCCCGGTTGCCCCTCTTCCAGGCCAGCTCTCTGCTATGGCCCGGGAGTGCAGTGGAGGATGGCCCAAGTCCTTGGGCCCTGCACCCCATGGGAGACCAGGAGAGGCACCTGGCTCCTGGCTTCGGATCAGCGCAATGTGCCGGCAGCAGCGCGCTGGCTGTGGCAGCCATTGGAAGGTGAGCTAATGGCAAAGGAAGACCTTTCTTTCTGTCTCTCTCTCTCACTGTCCACTCTGCCTGCCAAAAAAAAAAAAAAAGAAAAGGATTGTTTGTGATAGTGACATGTGCTGATGTGATTTACCATGTTGCAAATGATCACTCTGTGAGTGTTTCAAGTTAGAATGGTTCTTGTTATGGCAGAAAATCCCCTCAATCTGAAATAAGCAAAAGGGAAAATTTGTGTGCACAAAACTGAAATATCTATAAATAGGGCTGGGTACAGGTGTGACCTGACTCGAGGCTTAAATGATGTCATCTAGATCCATTTCTTGGCCTAGCTTTGCCTCTAAATGAAGGCTTCAACAATGTTGAGAAGAGCATATATACCCCCAGAACATGGGCTACAGAGCCAGATTACCCGAGACAAAATCTTGGGTAACTTTGGGGAAGTTATATAACCTTTCTATGCCTCAGTTTCTTTATCTTTAAAATGAAGATAAAATTAGATCTCTATTTCATGTGGTTGTGGTAAAGATTAGTGAGTTAATATATGTGAGTTGCTTGAAGCAGTAATATCAGGCAATAAGTGCTATGTAAGTGATGGCTTCTATTAATAGTGTTATAATTATTATACTATATTACAGTTCAAGATAATTTCATTCCAGGCACCAGTGTGTTGGGAGAGCATATCTCATATGAGTCAAACAAAAATCCTGAAAAATGCAGTTTCTTCAGCCTTGACTTGGGTTATGTGCTAAGCCCTGACTCAAGCACCGTGGGCAGGAGGATGTAATATACTGATTGGCTTAGCTTGGGTTATATACTCTGCCCCTAGAGATTGATTTAACTTTGTCTGAAGCACATTAACTGAGAACAAGGGAGAGGTGGTTTCCCTGATCTGAATTCAGAGGACTGTTGCCACCAAAAGGGGCAATGGATGCTTAGTGGCAAAAATCAGCCATGCCCATTATAGTGCTATAAGATAGGCCTTAATAGATGATCATGTAATGTGACAGTCTCCCTGGGGATGCATCAGTTGGGGTAGTTCTTGGAGGTTTATATCTTTAAGAAGGTAACATCTGTCTTGAAAATTTGAATTGCAATTATGAGAATATATTTTGTGTATTTTGTTCTCTGAATTCTTTTGTATTAAAATGTCTAAATTCAAGATAAATTATTTGTATGTAGTACATTATGTCCTAAAATTATCAGCAGCTATGTTCTGTCATAACTATTTTGTAACACATTTATCAACACAAATACAATGTGGACACTGAAGTTGACAGTGTTGATCTTATATGTCTTGAAGATCCAGAATATACATTTTTACTTTTGGCTTATCTTCAAAATAAAAATATAAAATCAAGACATTATTTTAATAAATTATTTTGGCCAGTGCTGATAGGACTTTCTACAGTGATGGAAATATTTTATAATTTATGTTGTTCAATATGGTAACTGCTAGCTACATCCAGCTATTGGGCATTTGAACTATGGCTAGTGCTATTAAGGAACTGAATTTTTCATTTAACTTAATCTTAGTAAATTTATATTGAAATAGCCACTTGTGGCTACTGGCTGCTACTGCTTGAACATGTACAACTCTGAATAGCAATACTAAATAAAAGAATGGATGCAATGTGCCCAACATGTTCTATACCAAGTACACAAAAAATAGGAGAAGAGGAAAAGTCTATATATTTTCCCTCTCAAAGGGCTGGACCTCATTTAACTTGCAGGAGCAACCCAGGGCTGCTCTTCACAGAACAACGATGGTAGCTGTTTTAGCATGGTGAAGTCAAGACTTGGCTTCAACATCCTTCTGCTACTGCCTTCCTTAATTCTATTCTCTAGACACGTTGAATTTTTACATCTTTTTTTTTTTAACCTGTCTTCATTGAATATTGAGTACTTTCTTGCTGTACAGCTATGAAATAGTTCAGGTGAGGTTCTTCTAATAATTTATGTTGCAATTTATTACTTTCTCTGAGACTATCCCTGAACTCCTAGGCAGTTATTCCCTTTCTCCTTTGTGCTCTATGTATGTTTCTTGGTTAGAGTCAGTGTTTTATTGATGTTATTTAGGTTTTGATCCCGTCCACTGGGTTGGGAACTAATTTTCTATGGCTTGGCCCTGGGTGAACCCTTGATGAATGCTTAGTTGGATAGCTGGGTGGGTGGATGATGGTTTGCAATCCTGGTTACATTTATAATGAAAAAAATTTTAAATAAATTTTCTTTAAATGTACAGTTTGATTAATTTTGACACATGTTGTTATTTTTGTAACCACTACCATATTTAAGATATAGCATATTTCCATCACCCTAAAACATTTCTTTGCACTTTTTCCCAGTCAATCTGGTCAACCATTGGTCTGCTTTCTGTCAGTATAGACTTATCTCTTTTAGGGTTTTATATAAATAGTCATATAATATTTACTCCTTTCATGTTTAGGATTTTGTGAGGGAAAGATATGTTAAACATACAAACATATGTGGTAAATGTTAAGATCATATAACCATAACAGTAAGTGCAAGCAGTACTTGACATTCTGGAGTCATGACTGTGCTTGTCTCTTTCCACAGTGTATAACTGGACCGTGGATGAGGTGGTGCAGTGGCTGATCACATATGTGGAGCTGCCTCAGTATGAGGAGACTTTCCGGAAGCTGCAGCTGAGTGGCCATGCCATGCCCAGGTCAGTAGGGGACTAGATTTTTCTTACTGGAAGGTACAAGAAATGGGATGGGGTAGACCTGACTTCAGGTTGCTCTGCCAGTTAACTGAGATTCCATCCTTTTCATGATAGAGTCTCTAGACCTCTTCTCTTTTCACATCTATTCTATACTTGCTGTAAAGCATGACGGGCACTTTGCATCCATTGTCTTATTTAATACTCTTATCAATCCTTGTAATAGTATGATAGCTGCCAGTTATTGAGTGCTTAATATCTGCCAGACATTCTGTTTAACACTTTAAATAAAGTGTCTCATTTAATTATTACACCAATCCTATAAGGTGGTATTATATTTAAATGATGAAACTGGTTTAGTAACTTTTCAAGGTCACAAACGTGGCTAGTTAGGGTAAAAACTGTGATTTGACTCTAGATCTGGGTAGATTTCAAAACCTGTTTTCTTTTCCTGTTTCTCTGGAAACTGTCTCTTTTATCACCCTGGAGTCTCAGGTCTGTTTTAGTTTTCTCTGTGCTATATGTACAATTTATCTACTCTAATGCAAATGGTGCAGATGTGGGGGCTGACTGCCATTGGCCCTGACCTTGTCTCAGATGACTCCTCCAACAGGCTTTCTACATAGGCACACTATTCTAGGACTTGGGGTTTGGAGTAGGGAGGGAGTGGAGGACTATGGCTTGGACTTTTTACTATTTCAACTTACTTTTGTATGTCACTCAGTCGTTAATCCATTTACTTATTCTCTCACTTATACTTACCGGTTCCCTGCACTCGTGCTGGGGATATTGTTGACAACAACCTACCCCTGCCCTCAAAGGGCTTGCTGTCTGATAAGTGCTGACTATGTACAGTCTGCCATCTTATTATGTAGGTACACCTGGTTATGAGCTTCGGTGAAGGAGATCAGGAAGGTGAAGCAGTTGGAAGGCCCACACATTGAGTTTGCAGCCACAGAGCTCCTGGGCACTGCTGTCCAGGCCTAGCTGAGCTGGCTGTTCTCTCCTCTGCTGCCTGTAGCCTCCTCTTCATAGCTTCTTTCTACTCTGGAAGAGTGATAATTTTAGTGTTTATAGAGTGCTTTCCTATCTATTATTTCTGTTGAGTCTCACAATTCTGGGAGGAAGGAGTTACTACTCCAGCTTTTAGATGAACAAACTGACTCTCAAGTAGTTTATAATTTGTCCAGCTGATAAGTAGTCCAGCTGGGATTTGAACCCAGGTCTTCCTTGTTCTAAGTGCAACTTTCACTGCATCTTTCTCTTGTATCATGTGGTTGAAGATAGGCTCCCTCTCAGTTTTCAGTTTAGTTCTACTTAACAAAACTTCCCAAAGCACCTACCATGTATGTGCCAGGCTCTGCTGGGCCCTGAAAGCTAAGAACGGATGACTGAATACATCATTGACCATGAATCTCCAGGAGTTAAGTTTCTTTCTTGCTACTCATGGGAATAGTAGTAGTCTTGGGTCATTTCATCATGAGGAATGGCTGTAGCCTGGATTTAAATTGCAAGGCATAGGAAGTCAGTTCTTAGGTCATGGTTTCAGTTAGCCCTCCTGTGCCTAAGATTAGAGCCAAGACCAGCTACAACCAGGCTGAGCACAGAGTAGAAAAATACCAAGCTCTGGCACTTTAGTGACAGCAGGAAGCATGGAGCTTTCAGTGTATGGTATAGAATGGGAGTGGTTCTAGGCTCATCACTACCAGCATGGCATCATGGGAAGAATCCAGCAGATTTGAATTCATCCCCTGGCATTACCACTTATTTTTGTGTAACTGTGGGCAAGTTACTCTCCTCTAAGTCTCAGGTGTCTTATCTATAAATTGGAGCTAATAACAGAGTTAAGAACTGAGTTCTTAAGGTTGCTGTGAAGACTAAATGAGATACTATCTGTAAAGTGCCAGAACAGTGCCTGATACCCAGGAGTTGCTTAGTAAATGCCAGCTCCTTCCCCCATTTCTCTCATTGCTTACAAGTAGAGAGCATTCCCATTTAGAGGTGTCTTCAGCTGTAGAAAACATGGTGCTGTTTGTTTTGATCAATGTCCAGCACACCTGGCGGAAGTGCTGCAAAGAGGATCCCCACGACGTTCCAGGCTCGTGCAAGGCATCTGATTTTATATCAGTTTATGCAGAAGGAAACTGAGGTCCTAGGGGAAGGAGCAAGCAGTGTATGATCAGACAAGTGAGTCAGCGGTAGAATTAGGATGAGAAACCGTATCTCCTGACCCCCAATCACAGTGCCTCACTGCCTGGCTTGTGGGTAGATCTGTTTGCCTTCCAAGGTCAGAGAAGAAAGTAGCTGTTCCTGTCTGCTCAGACGAGAGTAAAAACCACACTGTGTGATGTCAGATGCTGCCTTTTTAGCTGGGAAAACAAAACAATGCATCAGAAAGAAGCCCTAACCTCACAGAGTAGTATAGCATTACGTGCTCACTTTGGGGCTCAGATGAGAGGTTTTCAACCTTACTTATCTTGTACTCACCTCCTCATGTACTCACTGTGTTCCAACAGAAGAGGAAAAAAAGTCATTTTTTCCTAGGTCATTTTCTTGTTTGCAGGCTCTCTCATTGAAGTTACCATTGACAGTGTGGTTGAAGGTCATACAAAATTACAGTAATCTTATTGGGAGTAAATTGTATTGCAGTGACTCAAATACATGCTAACAGGACTAATTCAGCTTGTCATCAACAGGTTTTTATATATAATGATAGTGGGTTAGGTTTAGGCTAATTCAGACGTCTGCAGAGTCACTGGGTCTCACCGCATGATATTCTGACCTGGGCTTGTCAGGAGGATGCCTTTACAAGTGTTGGGAGGTGGGGACAGATATGTAGGGACTAAAACCCCTGGAAGGAGAAGCATGGCAGAAAATATACAGTTGGGTCTGAGACTGGTCGTAGGTGGGTTATCATTGGAGGACAGCGCACTTCCGTGGTGGAAATGCAATGAGAGGGTTGTCCAGTTCTTGATAAATGTTTTGTGTCCCCCATTCTCCCTGTTGAGACACCACAGTATAGATTGTGTTCAAGAATGTGAAGGGGAGCAATTACCCTGAAATTGCTTCTAGAGGAGATGGGTTTCCTGACTTTGCTGGCTTTCTGATCCCCTACTCTTTGCCTCAACAGGTTAGCTGTAACCAACACCACCATGACAGGGACTGTGCTAAAGATGACAGACCGAAGTCATCGACAGAAGCTGCAGTTGAAGGCCCTGGATACAGTGCTCTTCGGGCCTCCTCTCTGTGAGTCCTGTGTGGAGAAAGGCTTTGCTGCGCCATAGAACTCAAACCTGTTGGAATGGCTGGCTGAGGTCCTGGGGGCTCCTAGGCACTCCTGCAAGGCAGTGCCTCTACTGTTTCCATTGGGACTGATGTATGAACTAGTTTTGTATTTTAGTCCAGCTGTATATCAATGTCCATTTATTAAGTATCTGAAGAAGTATCAACTTTGTGCCAGTACTGTGCTGGGCCCTGTAGAAAGATATGAATGAATCAAATTCTGTCTATAAGGAATCAGATTGTATCTTAAAGGGATAAAACAAGTGTTCTCGGATAGGACACAGTGCTTTGAAGGCTCAGAGGAGGAGTGGAAAAGGCTTCTTCTAGGGGAGGTGGCATGTGAGCTCTACCTGTGAAAGTGGGAGAGCTTTACCATGGAGGTAGTAGAAGAGGATGTTCTAGATGGAGGAAACAGCCTGAACAAAAGTAAAGGCTAAAATATAAAGGGTATGCTCAGAAGTAGCAAGTAACCTCTAAAGGGCGACTGCCGTTTAGCTGTTACCTGTTCTCACTGCAGGCATGAGTATACAATATGAACTGATTACTGAACATCTTTGTATCTTTGGGTGAGCTAGGAAAGCTAAGTGGACTGAAACAATAGAGACATACCAGGCCTAAGAAAGGGTGGTTTCTTTAACCAGGGTTAATTGAAAGAATTAGGTGATTCAGTCCCTGCAGATCTACATAATGAGAATGACTGACCTTACCATCTTTTTTCCTATTATAAGTGAACCAGGAGGGAACAAAAGTAATTATATTCCTTAGAAAATTAGCTTTGACCAAACAGACTTTTAGGGCCAATTGGGAGCAGCTGAACTTTATTCATGGATGCCAGCAGCAGAGTATGAGAGAGCCAGGAGCCAGTCTATAGAAATTGCTGGCAGCCAGTGTCAGAGGCAGCACATTTCCTGTCTGTGCGTGTAGCTTGTGGAATGCCCAGGATGACTCCACAGGTGAATCTGTACCTTTTAAAAGTGTGAAACAGAACAACCTGGGAGAGGGCTATTTCCATCCTTGGTATCTTTTGAAAGGGGGCTGGGTGGATTGGAGGTATAAAGCACATTGCCCACCATTCTTTGGTTAATTTTGAATAAATGTCACAGTGAATGGCTCTATACTTTATGTAAGGCCCACCCTCTTTACTGAGCAATGACCTTTCACTTGGTTTCATTTACTGAGCACTACTGTATAACTTTATAAAGGACAGGGTACCTGCATTTGAGATGTTCTGTCTGTTCACAGATGGGAAACATCCAGCCCAGGGGCTGTGTAACACCTGCAAAATCATTTGGTCTGGCTCTGCCAAGGCAACTGCAGGTGGGACTCAAAATTTAATAAGTCTATAGCAGGCTAATTTTTGAGTTGATAATTTTATATGGCCTGCAAATGATGTTCTAAGTATCCAAATGGCCGTTGGCAGAAAAAATGTTCCCTGGAAATTGAACAGAGTAAATGGTCAACAAATATAGTAGTAAGTATTATAGCTATTATGTGAGACTCTCAAGAGTTCACTTGGGGGGCTGGCGTTGTGGTGTAGTGGGTAAACCTGCTGCCTCAGTGTCAGCATCCCATATGAGTATTGGTTTGAGTCCCAACTACTCTACTTCTGATCCAGCTCCCTGCTAATAATGTGCCTGAGGAAGCAATGGAAGATGACCCAAGTACTTGGGCCCCTGCACCCATGTGGGAGACCTGGAAGAAGCTCCTGACTCCTGGCTTCAGATTAGCCTTGCTCCAGTCATTGTGGCCATTTAGGGAGTGGACCAGTAGATGGAAGATCTCTCTGTCTCTCTTTCTGTAACTGTGCCTTTCAAATAAATAAATAAATCTTAAAAAAAAAAAAAAAGACTTCAACTGGGAGCACAAAGTAGAGAGGGGTTTTGTTGGAGTCTAAGAAGCTTTATGGGGAGGGTGATTGAGCCATTCACTGTGACAAATGGAAAGTGTCTTATTAAATTCTCCTCATCAACAGCTTACACCCCTCTTTGTGTCTACCAGCAAGTTCTTGCACCTGAAGAATTATGCTCAGCAGTGAAAGCCAGGCTGCTGCAGCAAAGGCTCAGCTCTGCCCCTCTCCAGCAAGGAGATATCATTAGAGATCTGAGTCTTCCTTAGCCTTCGAAAGATGTATTGTCAGGTTGTTGTGTGTCTGATATCAAAGTGGGATTTACCATATCTGAAAGAGTGCATTAGAAACTGCAGGTTAAACCAGGCAAGTATTTTATCTGGAAAAAACCAGAGTCCTGGGTCTGTGGTACTGGGTACGGGAGATCATTTCTTATAGCTTATAGACTACATGTGATTTGACCTAAGGGAGGTAGAGGGTACTTGCAAAGAGTCCTTTGAGCTATGTCCCTCTAGACTCAGTTTTCCCCTCTGAGTATGGACTAAAGTATCTATTTCAGTGCTGTTCCCTGTCTAAGTCCCTAGGACTTAGAATGATGGCCTGTGCTGGCTGTGACCTGTGTTTTGAACCTAGGATGAGTTCTTATGCTAGGTGGACACAGATGCTCAGGCCTCACCATATATCAAGTAACAGACAAATGCTCCAGAGAACCTAGGCCAGTTATAGTTGCCAGCCATGGCCACCTTGCCCAGACTTAGCAACAATCCTGCCATTGATGTGAGACTTGACAAATATTAAATCAAAGGTTTGTCATGCAGTAGCCAAGAGAGTCTGCTGAAGAAATAGATGTGTTTGTCCACAGAAGGAGGTTGGGGAGGGGGGGATCAGATGGCTCAGCACAGGGCCACCCCAGGGTCTATTTTGTGACCGTAAAAAGTGTGCTCAGTTCTCTTCATGTGACCACAGAACAGCACATGGCCGTTTGCATCTTTTGCACCCTGCAGAGGTAGCTCTAGGCTTGTGGGCCCATCTGGGCGTCTCCAGACAGCATCAGGTGTTGGGTGCGCTCTGAGAAACGAAGGCCCTGTGACAGGTGGTGTCAGTTGGAGGCCTGAGCTGGTGACCTGCCAGGGTAGCAGATCATTCATTGAGGGGACTTTGCCTCCTTTACAGATGATTTCTCAGAAAGACTGAGGCTCAGAGAGATGAGGTAAGTTTTCAGAGGCCATTCAGCTTTTAAGTGGCAAAGCCATGACTAACCCAGGTCTTTAACTTGTTCTTCAGTGCTCCTTCTTAGGCCACCTGATGGTTCTGTTAGAGGAAACAAGATACAAAGAGTTCTAGCTTTGCAGTGAAGCAGGCTGGCTCTTTCACTTAGCAGTTTTGTGACCTTGGGCACATTCCTAAGGTTCTCTGTGCCCCAATTCACCCTGAATAAATGGTCATTACTATTTTTACTGTGTCTTAGTGCAGTGCTGGAGACTACTGTGCCCTTTGTTCTTTAAGCATGAGTATTGAGAAGAGTGCAGAAAGGCCTGCTGGGTAATTGTTGGAATTGGGGGCAACTGTGGAGAGGAAAAGACAAGGCTATGTATCATCTTCCTTCTTCAGTGGCTCAGACAATAGGAAAAAAGTCCCCAGTGATGGGGCGTGGCTGTCTCTGGGCAGCCTTGCTGTGCTCCCTGGGGCTGAATCCTTACTTCCTGTGTCTCCTGTGATGCTCCTGCTTCCCCTGCAAGCCTTTTCCAGGATGCTTCCCAGCCTCTTCTCAGTCATGCTGAACTTGTGCCTCTTCATCCCCTCTGGGAGCACACAGCCCTTTGTTCCTCCTTTCTTTTTTATTGTTTTTTAAGACTTATTTTGTTTATTTGAAAGACAACGTTACAGAGAGAGGTAGAGCCAGAGAGAGAGAGAGAGAGCGAGGTCTTCCATCCACTGGTTCACTCCCCAAATGGCCGCAACAGCCAGGAGCTAGGAGCTTCTTCCAGGTTGCCCACGTGGGTGCAGGACCCAAGGACTTGAACCATCTTCTACTGCTTTCCCAGGCCATAGCAGAGAACTGGATCAGAAGTGGAACAGCTGGGACTCGAACCGGCGCCCATATGGGATGCTGGTGCAGCAGGCCAGGACTTTAACCTGCTACTACAGTGCTGGTCCCTGTTCCTCCTTTCTTTATAAGAGGTCTGTTTTCTACTCTTTTACCCTTGGACTGGAAGCTCCTTGAGGGCAGACAAGCTTTGTTCATCTGTTGTCAGCACTCAGCTTTAAGACCCAGGAAGGAGGAGGGGAGTAACCAGGATACAAATGCTAGAAGTTACACAGAGGAGGCTGGGCCTCTCCAGACTGCAGGAATGAGGGGAATTGGGAGAAGAATCTGGCCCCGCTTGGTTTTGGAGGGAATTTCTGCCTATATTGTGCCTGTTGGCAGTTGAGGTAGCTAAAGCATCTACTGGGCCATGACTAGAAGAAAGAGGGCCAGGAGTGGTCTTTACAGGTTAAACAGATACCTCTGAACAAAAGACAGCATAAAGGACAAAAGGAATTCCTAACACATATTTTGGCAGTGAAGAATAAGTATCTGTCTGTACCTGACAGGATATTATGGGCAGTTGAGAGGATGGAGAGAATTGATTAGGGAAGGGGATTCAAGAAGGCTATAATGAGTAGAGATTCTCCTTCTCAGTGTTAAATGGTACCCTGAAAATTCTCCTTATTACCTTGACTCTATAAACATATCAGCGTTTCATTTATTTACATCTACCTCCTCTGCCTTAGGCCTGATGCTGTTAACAACCTGATTTTGCTAAAATTTATTTGTAGCACTCAGATGGGGGATTCTGCCATCCTCTCACTCCCAGCCAGCTTCCCTGGGTTAGCTCTGTTCACCCAGCCAGCCACATCTGCTTTCCCAAAAGCATCTGCGGTCACTGCCCTGGCTGTATTAACTGAATAGGAAGTATATTCTGAGGGCCGAATTTGTGTAAGGGCTCTGCACTTCAGCTGGGCATATAATCTTGTCCCAGGGACAGATATTTATTCTCTATATACAGTTGGCATTGTTCTCCCCTTTCCTGTTAAAACTTCCCTTCATTATTTCTTTTTTTCTCCTTTGCTAAGTACCTACTCTGGTTAGGCCTTGTGCTAAGTTTGGGGCTACAGAGATAATAAGTCTTGTGTCCTGGCCCTGAGGAACTGGCAGACTACTAGAAGGTGACTGTCAAGGAAGTTGAAACATATACAAAGCAGTCCCTGAGACAGAAGAGATGGCCAGTGTTTATGGCTCCAGAGAATGGGTTGATCAGGGAATCATAACTCAGAAGAAAAGACATGGAAAGATCTCTGTGGACTTTGGTAGGCTGGGAAGGTAGTGGGAGTTGAAGGATGAGAATAGGATTATCATGGGTAGGATTTCATTGTTTGTAAGACATAGACTAGATTCTTAATTTGCCTATTTTCTCCACTGAAGGGGCCTGCCAATTCTTAATGCTCCTTCCTCTTCCTCAAACTCTGTATCCACACCGTTAATCACCTCTTAGATATGTCCATCTCAGTATTTCTAAGGCATCTCAAATCACTTCTACATTGCATTTGATCACTTTAGTAATTATGTGATGATGTACTTTACAGTGGAAGAAGCTGAGGTCCAGATAGGGGAAGTGAACTTCACAACAGATTGAAGCAGAGGCAAACATAGAACCCAGACTTCCCTAATGCTTAGTGCAGGATGCTGCCTTTGATGGTACAAGTTTCTCTACTTGAGGTCCTATGTTTAACCTTAAAGGCCTGGCCATTTGGCCTTTGGGTCTTGACTGCCCTGTTGGCAATGGCATAGTCAGTTCCCTGAATGTTTTTGAGAAAACTCAGGGTTTGTAATTCTTAGAGTCACACTCAAACTAGATCAAGGCAGTATAGACAGACTCCCTTCTGGTGAGAGATGTTTGCATGTAACAAAGCAGAATTAACACTTGCTGCATGAGTATGAAAGTTGTAATGAGGAAGTGTGGTATAATGGAAAGACAGTGCATTCAGGCAAATCTGGATTTGCACCCAACTCTGTCACTGTTTATGAACTCCAGCATATCACTGTCCCTTATGGAGCTTCAGTTTCATTGTCTTTAAAATAGAAATTCTAATGTTCTCTTAGAGTCATGAGGATTAGAAATGATTACAAATGCCTAGTACATTTTATGTTTGCTCTATTTCACTTTCCTTCTTATGTGGATTATCATGCTTGAAGCAAATCAGTAAAGACTCAAGCACACAAAGATATATCGAGTGTGTTCTGTGTGCTGCTGGTTGATGCTGTGCTGGGCACTGGCATGTAGGCAAATGATGAGCACCAGAAACCATAAAGAGTGAAGCAACCAGACTTAGACTCATGTTCTTCCTGCTGAGCTTGGTAGCTCATGGGCTGTGAAGCAGTGTATCTGGGCTTCAGTTGTGTGCTTGGTAAGGCAGGGGGATGAGGGAGTGGATGCCTGTGTATGCAAGTAGCGTAAAGATTGAAGAAATGCAGAGGGTACTCACTTTGGAGGGGCAACTGTTAGGTATTATCCAGGGTCCCAGTCATTCAGTATTTAGTGTTATGACCTGGATGAGGATATGAAGCTGAATCCATCCAAAATTGATCTTGACAAATAGAATAAGGGACTAAGTGAAATACCTGGGCCCAATCTGCATGCGCACTTGGAAATCTTACAAGTGTTGGAAGTAATGCCATCCATATGACCTGCTGGTTGGCTCTCCAAGGGGCTATGACTATATAGCTCTTTTTGTCAAACTGGACCTTAGATTCACACAATTTCTAGAAACATGTGTCTTTTCCTGGAGTGTGACACATTCCCTCAATCTGGTAGCTTGAAATGGATCTTTTTGGTTCTCTGTCAACCACATGTCCTGACCAGGCAGTAGGATCTTGCTAGTCCTTTCCTTGTCCTTTGAGGAGGAGGGCAACCTGCAGTGCACAGAGGGTCATTAGCCCTGGTTGAACTCCCCCATTTGTTCTTTGTTCCCACATCTGTGGCTCCCTGGAGCCTACAGCACAACCCAGACAGAGGCAGCAGCAGGCCTCTGCTCTTATGACGTCCCTTTCAAGTCTCCAGGCCCCAGATCTGGTAGACTAGGTGCAATGGCAGGCTCCAGGACTGTTCCTCTCCTGTTTGACTAAGTTCTTGAGATGTGTCTTTTGCTTTTATCTTCGTAGTGTTCCTTCTTTGGCATTGAATTGTATTTTGGAGGCTGGACATTGCTTCAAACACCAATTGGTGCCTTGGCCTGTGAACGTCACTAAGTTGCTGCCAGGCATTCTCTGGAGTTAGGTCTGCCCCTAAGTTCCCAATGTGTTTAATGCTTCATGTAAACCAATCTATTGATGTTACTCCTGTTTTACCTGGTCTATGGATTGAGTTACATCCTAGAAATGCCCTCCATAGACTGAGATTTCAAGACCTTTACCTGATCTGAGCTTGGACCTAGTAGTCTACAAGAGCAGCTCCTGCAGTGTGCTCAGTCCTACAGCCAGACCGCAGGCTCCAGTGACACTGCTGCATCCCCTTTATACCAGCCAGTCCCTTTTACCTGCTGTAGCACCTTAGCACTGCCTACCCTGTAGCATGGAAGCCGTTGCACATGGGCTCATCCCAGCCCAGGGATGCCTTGGGATGTATTGAAAAAGTGCTAGTTTCCTCCTCTTCACTGCATCTTAGGGAAGCATGATTTAATGAGCTTCCTCTAAGGCCTCCAATCCTTTCCAAACTAGACTTGACCAGCAGAGCTTACTGTAATAGTATATGACAAGTGTGTGTCTAAGAAGAAAACGGAATTCCTCTTGAGCGGAAGAGTGCTCTTCAGGCAGGACTTCATGTGCAGTGGGCATTCTCGCTCACCATGCCCTCCCTCTCTGGCAGTGACTCGCCACAACCACCTCAAGGACTTCATGCTGGTGGTGTCTATCGTTATTGGTGTGGGCGGCTGCTGGTTTGCCTATATCCAGAACCGATACTCCAAAGAACACATGAAGAAGATGATGAAGGATTTGGAGGGACTACATCGAGCTGAACAGAGTCTGCACGACCTTCAGGAAAGGTAAGGCCCCGCCCCTTTTCCTCAGCCGTGGTGGTGCCAGCTCTTGGAAGCCTGGGTTGTGGGCCGCTTGGCCCCGTGACCATGCTGACACAGCTACCCAGGCTGCCACCTTCCCAAAACCACTGGGATCCTAGGTGCCGGCAATTCCTGTTGCCCTGGGCAGTTATTCTTCCTGGGATGAAGGTTGTAAATCTATCTTTCTTACCTCTGAGCCTCAAGGGAGAAATGTGTTGCTGTCAGAGGTTGTAAGTCTCTTTGGTCAGATGACTTGTTAGGGGTCATTCTACCCTTCGTCCTGCCTCTGGACTGCTTCCCTTCCATACAAACAGGAACAATGATTGTCCTTTACTGAAACCCCTCAAACCTTTCATCCTTCTGCCTGTGGTTCTTTCTGGTGTAGTGTCTGAATCGTCTGTGTATTGACTTGTTGTATGGCGGGGTAAGTCCTTTTCCCTCCAAGTACTTAATTCCTCATCAGTACTGTGAAGGGACTGAGCTGGGAGACCCCAAGCTCTCCTTGGAGGACTCTTCTAGCTCTGATGGTCTGGGATTCTGTGGAGATAAAATATGCCATAAAACTATGGCAGAGGATTTAGCTGCGGGAAAAGGGTGCTAGTCAGTCACTGAGTGAATCAATCTGTGTTCCTCCTGACATCGAGGAACCAGACCTGTGCAATCGTAGGGAATTCACTGCTCCTAGGGAACACAACTCACCCATAGGAAGGAGCAGTATGCACACACTTAATACACACTCACTGTCAGCCTACGGGGTAAGAACGCTAAGGACTGGAAGGGTCGAGAGGCAGGAGATGAGCAGGTGTGGGCTCTGAGCCAGGTAATGTTATATACTGAAATGCATCGGTGCTGCTAATCGCCACAAGCCTTTCAGGTGGGTACCATTATCCCGGGTTTAGGGCTGAGGAAACGAAGGCTCAGGGAGGATAATCACGTGTCCGTCAGTAGTGAGCTAGGAATTTCAGCACTCCCAGGGTGCTGCCTTTGCCGAGGCTGGGCCTTGCCAGATTTATTTCCATGCACTGGGCTTCTAGGGGTGGGAGGGGTTTGATCTCTAAGCTGATTCCTAGCTACTCTGCTAGGCCCCTTGTTCCTGGGCCCATTGCCAACTAGGGGCTAACTGCTGCTGTCTGAGCTGTCGCCATTCTTCATTTGTCTGAAAAACATGTACTGTTTTCATTCCAAAGGCAAAAGAATCTAGGCAGGAGGCATTCCAAGTTTGGGGATAAAACTAAGCTCCTGGCCTCCCTACTCCCCCAGGCCTCCAGAGCTAAATGACCACCGAAGACTTAAAGACAGATTATCCCTTGCCAATCCCCGAGACAGGCTAGAGCACCCGCACACACACCCTCCTGACTGTTCAGGGCCCACATGCCCCCTTGTCCCTTCTGCTGTACTGCCGGCCACCACTGAGTTTTATTTACGAGAGCTCTTGCTATTTTGTATGAATAAATATAATGCTACATGTACATTCCAGCTAGGATTTCATTGGGTTTCAACATAATTCTATGAGGCAGGCAGTAATTCCGATTCCCATTTCACTGTGAAGAAACAGGCAAAACCCTTTCATAGTTGCACAGCTGCTTAGAGTTAGGACTTACAATCAGGCTGTGGCGTGAACTGATTGTTTCTCCTGGGCAGTGCTTGATTGTGCAGTTATGTGCTCATTTCCTCATCAGCAGCGTTAATGGATCTCCATTTGTACGAGACTCTATTGGGACTGTGAAAGTGGGGCTGGCTTGATTCTGCTTTACAAGCCCTCTCTATAGGGAGAGTACAGGCATATCATAGTACTGGCTTCTCTGAAGACACTTCTTTCCAAGAGAATGCTATTTAAGTAAACGATTGGATCTGTAATGGTACAGTTTCGTCCAATTGGATCGTGGATGAGTACAATTGAGACTATTCAGCCAGAGGAGATGGAGGCAAGAAAGGGGCTTCACTGGAGTGGCTGTGGTTTTTTTAAAGCTGTGTATGTAGCGCCACCTGGTGTTCCACTGGAGGATATTCAACTCCCTTTCTCTCCAGAGGCGAAGTACCAAAACAACGCCGTTTGTCAGCAGCAAGTTTCCCATTCCCCTCCCTGCTTATCTCACCACATCTTTTGAGGCTTTAGCCACTGACAACGCTGGAGTTGGATTGAGTTGACTAAAGGTTGAGTTCTGTTTCTTTCTATTTTGTTTCATTTCTTAATCAACTCAGTGGTCTAGGCTTTTCTCTGTGGGTCTTTCCTGTTCTGTGATCTATCCTTTCTTTTCTGTGTCTCCTCTTAACCATGAATGTCTCCCCTTCCTCGTCATCCTTTCTCCCCCCTTTCTTAGTTCCCTGGTAACTTGTCTGTTGCTGCTGGGGTAGGAAGACCTGACAGTAGCTAAGTCCTTTATTTTTTCCAAAAGGATTCATTAGCACTTTGCTCCTTCTTCTGGGTCTAGCCCAGGCCTCCCGTTCCCTGAGTCTTTTCAGATAGCAGTTATTCCTTTGGGCTTAGCCAACACCGCATCTCTCTGTTATAGAATCCAGTGCTCTCTATGCAACTATCTGTTTACTGGTCTTCGTTGGACGAGGTCTTGATCGCCTCAGTGTTGGGGACAGTTTTCTGTGGCATGGAGTAGGCACCCGACAGACCGTGGTGCATGAATGACTGGGTTAGTGTAGACAGATTTGTAGGGGTAAGCAGGGAGGAAGGAGGCTTGTTCAGAAGGAAGGTTCTTCTATCAGTGAATGGAGGGCATGGGTGGCTGGGCGCGAGGGTAGCTTGTCTTTATAACTAATGTCTTTGAGAACTTACTGTGGAAGACACTTAGGATGGGAACTTTGGGCTTGGGTAGGCAGGGGTTCTTTGTCCTGAATTTCACTTTTCTGTACTTTTGGGAGTAGGTACTTAGGAGCCTGAGAGATCTATCTCAGTAGTTCTTTCTCATCTTCTTTCAGCCTCCCTCCTACCACCACCTCAGTCATGTCTCAACCATTAAGTTGTCCAGGGATCTTTGGCTTATAGGATATGCTACCTTTATTGAACCTTCTAGGTACTTTGATGCAAGGTGAATAATTATGGGTGTTGAAATGACATGTATTTGAATTCTGTTATCGGTTCCTCTGCTAAGTTACTTTCCTTTTCTCAGCCCTCATATCTACATCTCTTCCAGGCTGATAGTTATGCTGTCTTATTATTCTCTGTCAAGAGGACAAAAGTGAAAAACCTTGTTACCTGGTACTTGCTATGATTTTAGTGTGTGAGATACTTTAGAGGAGGGATTCGGATGTCTGGCAACCTGGCCTCACAGCCTTGATTACTGGCAGCAAAATGATGGCCAACATAAGAATTAGGGTAGTGTGTGTGGTTTCTCTTGGCCCTGAGCCGACTCAGAGCCAGACAGTCAGCAGAGCAGCAGAATATATGCTGAGGACTGGAGCTCTCAGTCTCTTCCTTGCTGCCATGAGTCATGGCGAGTTGGCCGGCTCCCCGCTGCCTGCCCCTCCAGCTCCCTGCATCCCCCCCAGGCTGCACAAGGCCCAGGAAGAGCACCGGACAGTGGAGGTGGAGAAGGTCCATCTGGAGAAGAAGCTGCGTGATGAGATCAACCTGGCCAAGCAGGAAGCCCAGCGGCTGAAGGAGCTGCGGGAGGGGACAGAGAACGAGCGGAGCCGCCAAAAATACGCTGAGGAAGAACTGGAGCAGGTAGGGGAGACTGCAGACTCCTGGACACCCTCTGGTGGGTACGTGGCAAGGGCCCAGGGTCTGGTTGTGAAGTTTTGTGTGTGAGGATTTCAAAATATGGCTCAAAGAAGGTCTTGTAGAGTCACTAGATTCATACCAGTAAGAGTAGTGGAAGAGCTGTAAAAAAATGGTCACTGTGATGTTCAAAGAGCAGCAAATAACAGGTGATAGAGTTATTCATTCCCCCCCCCCTTTTTTTTTTGACAGGCAGAGTGGACAGTGAGAGAGAGAGACAGAGAGAAAGGTCTTCCTTTGCCATTGGTTGACCCTCCAGTGGCCGCCATGGCCGGCGCGCTGCGGCCGGCGCAGCGTGCTGATCCGATGGCAGCAGCCAGGTACTTATCCTGGTCTCCCATGGGGTGCAGGGCCCAAGTACTTGGGCCATCCTCCACTGCACTCCCGGGCCACAGCAGAGAGCTGGCCTGGAAGAGGGGCAACCAGGACAGAATCCGGCGCCCCGACCGGGACTAGAACCCGGTATGCTGGCGCCACAAGGTGGAGGATTAGTCTAGTGAGCCGCGGTGCCAGCCATCGTTCCTTTTTTTATTGAGGTGTTCACATAAGTGTATACAGCTGGCAAGCTTTTACATAAGCATGTTGCTGTGTAAACACCACCCAGATCAAGATACAGAACCTTTGCAGCACCCCAGAAAGCTCACTTTTGCCCCCTAGTCAATATTTCATCCAAAAGGTAACTAATATAACCCAGATTGCTTTGGCCTGGTTTTGACTTCATATAAATGAGCTTAATAGTATATACTCTCCCATGTTTAGTTTCTTCACTCAGCATTATGTCTGTAAGAGTCATCCATGTTGCACATTAGTGATAGTTGGTTCACATCAGTTGCTGGGTAATAATCCATTGTATGAGTACACTATAACTGTTTTTACCCATTCTCTTATTGATGAATATTTTGGGTTATTTATACTTTTCTGATTTTTCCTTTATGACTAACACTTCCTTAAAATTTCTTGTACAAGTCTCTTGTCTGAGTATAAGCACTCGTTTCTGTTGGGTGTGTAATAACAGAGCATTTATATGTTTATCAGAAACTGCCGGTTTTCCAAAATGGTTCTTTCTGTCTATACTGCTTCAAAGAATGCATGAGAGTTCTACCTATAACCTTGGTTTTTCAGACTTTAATTTACACTTTCTGGTAGGTATGTGTTGGTATTTCATTGCGGTTTTAATTTTCACTTACCTAATACTATTGAATATTATTTTTATAAACTTATTGGCCATTAGGTTTAGGAATGTCTTATTTTAAAAATTGGGTGGTCTGTCTTTTTTTATTGATTTGTGAGAGTTCTTTATATATTCTGTATGTGAATCTTCTTGTTAATATATATCCATATATAAGAAACATTTTCAGAAATAGTGCTGTGGCATAGCAGATAAAGCTGCCGTCTGTAGTGCCAGCATCCCATATGGGCTCCAGTTTGAGTCCTGGCTGCTCCACTTCTGATCCAGCTCTCTGCTATGGTCTGGAAAAGCAGTGGAAGATGACCCAAGTCCTTGGACACCTGTATCCATGTGGGAGACCTGGAAGAAGCTCCTGGCTCCTGGCCCAGCTCTGGCCATTGTAGCTATCTGAGGAGTGAACCAGTGGATGGAAGACCTCTCTCTCTCTCTCTCTCTCTCTTTCTCTCTCTCTCTCTCCCCCTCTCCCTCTCCCTCTCCCTCTCCCCCTACCCCGCATTTCTGTAAATCTACTTTTCAAATAAATCTTTTTTTCTAAAAAAGGAAATGTTTTCTTTTAACATATATCTTTTTAATATTCTTTTAACATATATCTTTTTAATATCATCTTGTTATAAACAGAAGTGTTTTTTTTTTTTAAGATTTATTTATGTATTTGATAGTCAGAGTTACACAGAGAGAGGGCAAGACAGAGAGAGAGATTTTCCATCTGCTGGTTCACTCCCCAGATGGCTGCAACAGCCAGTGCTAGGCCAGGCTGATGCCAGGAGCTTCTTCTGGGTCTCCCACATGGGTGGTAGGGGCCCAAGTACTTGGGCCATCTTTTACTGCTTTTCCCAGGCCAGGAGCAGGGATCTGGACCAGAAGTGGAACAGCCAGGACATGTAGTACCCATATGGGATGCCAGTATTGCAGATGGCAGCTTTACCTGCTATGTTACAACATTGGCCCCAGAAATTCTTAATTTAAATGAAATCCAACTAATACATTTTTAAAGGAATGGTTGGTGCTTTTTAGCTTCTTGTTTAAGAAATCTTTCCCTAATCTCAAGATATTTTCTTAATTTTCTTTTAGATCCTTCCTTGTTCAACTTTTCAAATTTAGAGATATGGTTTACTTCAAATTAATTTTTGTGTATTATATGGGGTAAGGAGCCAAGGATCTTGTTTTCCCAAGTAGATATTGATAAAGTTATCATTCAAGGTTCTCTACCATTGCACTGCATTGTCTTGTAATAGATAAATCTTGATATCTAATGGCATTAAGTTCTCTAGTTTCTTTCTTTTTTTTTAAGAGTTGTTTCTTTATTTGAAAGTTACAGAGAGAGAGGAGAAGCAGAGAGAGAGAGACAGACAGAGAGGTCTTCCACCCGATGGTTCACTCCCCAACTGGCAGCAATGGCCGGAGCTGCAGCGATCCGAAGCCAGGAGCCAGGAGCTTCTTTTGGGTCTCCCACACGGGTGCAGGGGTCCAAGGACTTGGGCTGTCTTCTGCTGCTTTCCCAGGCTACAGCAGAGAGCTAGATTGGAAATAGAGCAGCCAGGTCTTGAACCAGCACCCATATGGGATACCGGCTCTTCAGGCCAGGGTGTTAACCCGCTAGTTTCTTCTGAAAGATGGGCTTGGCTGTTGTAAGGTCTTTGCATTTCAATATTAATTTGTCATTCTGATATCCCTTATCTTCAAAAAAACAAAAAAAAAAACACACACAAAATACCTGCTGGGTTATTTATTGTGTTTTTGCTGAATCTACAGATTAATAGCATATTTTACCCTGTTACCTACTTAGCTGTTTTAAAATTTCCCTTAGCAATATTTTATAGTTGTCAGTATAGTTCTTTTTTTAAAAAAGAAAACTTTAATTTGCTTTTATTTGTCTAGCTTTTTGAGGAAGACAATTAAGTTCTTAATGTTAAACCTTTAATTTTCATAATATGTGCATTTGGAGCTATAAATTTTTTTGCTTTTAAGTGAGCATAAAAATAAATATTTCTGAGGGGTGAACCAATGGAAGGAAGACCTTTCTCTCTCTCTCTATCTCTCAATGTCTAACTCTGCCTGTCAAAATAAATAAATAAATAAATATTTCATTTTTATCCACCAATAAAAGAAAGTTAGGTTCACAGTTTTAGCTCTTGACAAATGAACTAGGAAGCAAACTTAGATCCATCAGATACAACTAATGGACCAACTTTTCAAGCTTAGGCTGTCTTGAAAATGATAACATACCAAATATTGCTGTGTATTCTCTAGTGACAACTTTGGCTAACAGAGGAGGTTTTACTAGCAGGCGTTTCTAAAGTCATGTTGTTGCAATCAAAGTTTCTTAACATGTTATATGTTTGGAAATGATTTAGATACTTCAAAGTCTAAACAGTGATTTAAGAGTGCATCTGTTGCTGTCTCAAGAGGGATCAATATTTGTCTCTGGGTAGCAGGTATATTTGTAAATATAAAAGTATATTAGATATCAGCACTTGTGCAGAATGTGCCCAACATCATAAGATCCAAAAAACCAACACAAATTTATCCATCATTAAAAAATAATTACTTCCTTCCTAAGATGTGAGACTACTAGGTAACTATCTAGACTAAAACCTGAATGAACAGCTCTTGTACTATACAGTTTGTTTTAGAAGAATATATGAGAACCAATCAGCTGAATGGCAGACATGTTTAAATCTCCAACAATTTAAAAATTGAATATTATCATTCAGAATTAGAAAACTATTGAAAATTGAGTGCCAAAATTTAATACCTAAATGTGGCCAAAAATTTAAAAGTCCTAGAAAACCTGCTTATTCATCATTCTTTCTACATTTTAATAAGTGATACTTCCATTGTAGGAATCCATTACTTACCTAATTTCCAAATGGAGGGAAAGTTAATTATCATTTTTTTGTGGAACCTTCATCTATCAACTGAAGACCAATTAATAGCAACATAGGAAATTTGGAAGCAATAAGATTTTTTGGTTTATCCAAAAAAGCTGTCTGCTTTCCAAATTCCAAAAATTAAAATACTCCCTATCTCACTATAGTAGCCAGTGCCCTTTGGTTTCTTCAGAACAGGGAAAGGTTCAAGGGTTGCTGATTATGGATGTACCATTTTGATCTGGTCAGCTTTTACACACAGAAATCATACAAAGTGGCCAGATACTTATTTTACAAAACAGTTTAAATATTATGTATTAGCCAAGTAAAATTATTCCACCCACCCTGGTGAGAGGAGGAAAGAGCCCACACCTATAGAACTACTTCACTTGACAGGCTGTTTCTAGCAGTAATAAGTATCTTAAACAACTATCACAAATAAAGTTTCTAGTTTGATTCTTGAAATGGGAAAGTCACACATTTTAGAAGTAAATAGAGTTTAAATTGTGAATCGAGTATAATTTGAACCTAATAAACCAATGTGCTCTGAATTTGTTCAAGTACTGGTATTTCTATATATAAAGATATAGCATATATAACAGCTACCATCAGAAGTAAAAAAAGATTTTTCTCCAAAAAATGAGAGTATTAAAAGTAAGTTAAAATATATACAGTAGTTAGTATTTCACACAGCATAAAATTCGACAAATCAAAGTTTACATGTCCCAGTTGGCCATGTGTAAAAAATGCAAAGCTGGTATTAAAACCAATATTATGTCCAATCTTTTTTTTTTTTTTTTTTTTTTGACAGGCAGAGTGGACAGTGAGAGAGAGAGACAGAGAGAAAGGTCTTCCTTTTGCCGGTGGTTCACCCTCCAATGGCAGCC